CACAGAATGTTGCCCTTTCCATCAAAAACTTTCCTCAACCAGGTGACAGAAATTCTTTTTCCTCGTCCTTCCCAGTCTCTGGTCATCTCTATTCTATCCTCAACTTGGGGATATTAGATTTTAAGACTGCACTTAAAGTAAGACTACATGGGCTAATGTGCCTCATAAACATACAAATTTTACATGACAATAAAAATAAAGTTATTGAGCAGGTGACCATGAAGCAAAGGTAACAAATTTCAAATGTGATTTGTGAATTTCTTCAACTTAAAGAATGTTAACTGGTATATAAAATGAATTAAACTAACAAATTATACTAAGTTATAATTTATAATGTGAAAAAATTATGACTAGTTATACTTAATTATGGTGTATACTGTTTAGGATCTTTATTCAAAACTTTACCAAATATATAGCATACTAATTTTATTTGTAATTTTAAAACCACACTTTATACTAACAATACAGTTTACATGTTACACAACACTATAATAGAATGATTTGATGTCATTTTAAACAAAAGAATAAAGGGGAAGTTTTCCATTTCTCTCTCTAATTACCCCTAAAATATATGAAGAACTTCATATACGACTTATAAGAACTGTTAGAAATTGTCTGTGAAATACATTATCATGTTCATTCTACAAATGAGATAAAACGGTGGTCATAAATTTTTTTCAGGTTGCTGTCAAGCCCACATCTGGTAAGTTTAGCATTTGGATCCATAGAAGGAATTTCTGTCAAGCATGTTCTATACCCAGCATTGTATATGATTTTCATCTTGAAGCCCTTTTATTTTGCTCTAATGACACTGAAATCTAAGCTACTATGTCTCAATTCCTTTGAAATCTTCACTTTAAATTTTGACTTTCTAAGGCAGGCTGCTGTTTTAACCTCATTTCCCCATCCTTTCTCCATCTTAATAACACCAGCTGCTGCAAAGATTTGCTTTTATTGCTGATTCCCTATAGCAAATTTCTAGTTCTGCTGAATTTTGGTCCTGAAAGATTCAGTTTCTATGAGGCATCTCCATTGGGGTACCTTGGCCTGTGCCTTGTTCATGTCTGCAGTATTTACCTCTGTCTAAATGCTGCCTTCTGTAGAAGGAACTTCAGTGTCCTAAAAATATCATATTTGTCTCCCCCTTCCCACATTGTTAACTATTTTCTGATATATTTTCAGTCTTTTTCATGGTGTTGCATACCTAATATTTGTTGTATAATCTGATTTTTAAATATTAATTTTTGGTGCTCCCTTTTAACCCTCTGTACTCTGCTAGACATGAGCAAAGCAGAGTCATGCCTGCTATTTACTGAGAACTCAGTAAATATTAGTTGAGTGACTGAACAAACAACTCTGTAGGTCTATTTCTATAAATGTGACATAAGTTCTCAAAGCAAATATGTAAGAATAAAAGAAATATATGTACACTGTGCAGGGGTGTGACAGTCTCACATCTACTGTTTATATGGATACCTGACCAGATCTTGTTCCTTGCTTGATAAGCGTCAGTGTTTCCACCAGGCTGTCTGTCTCTGGCACTGAGGCCTGAACTCTACTCAGAGTCTCCATCATGCTACTGAGAGTCAGACCTTGTGTAGGTCTTGGATACATTTCTGAGTTCTTCCTCACTCCCCATAAACAGTCAACAAATGCAACTATGTTAGCTCAGCAGTCTACATTCCCCTCTCTCTCCCTGTCATTTTATTCTTTGTTCTCATCGAGACACCCATTTCTCAGACTCTGTGTCTATGACCTTGAACCAGTGCTGGCAAGGCAAAGTGGATATAGGCCTGTTATTCAAATCACAAGGCAAAATGCACTATACTTCATTATTAACTAATAAATCATGCCCAATAACACCCATATTTAAGAGTCTTAGTTTTCAGTACATGTCGTATTACACATCATATCTTCCTCTGCTAGTTCTGCAAATTCTGACAAAGAACAAGCTTCCTCTGCTTCACTGGAATCTGTGGTTTGGAGTGCTGTCTCAATTAATATATCCTTCAATGTCTTGATATATTTACTTATTTATTATCATGCTTGTTTTGCTAGTGATACCACAAGTATCATAGATAAAAAGTTTATTCAGAGTCTCACAGCTAATCAGTGATCCTGGGAATTCAAACCTGGATGTGCTGGATTTGAAAGAGTAGTTTTATAAAACTGTCATGATTGATAATCTGTCCACCTTTTAAATGCCTGCTCATCCTTCAAACACTTCTTCACATAGCACCTTTCACATAATTTTTCTCTACCAGAGATAATATTTCTCATCTCTGAACTCTGAAATATTATGAAACATGGAACATTTCTCACATTTTGAAAATCTATGCTTTTTGAGCATCCCTGATTCTTTATTTTTAACCAGTCTTGAATGTAATCTTTTCAGCAGTGTCAGATTTTCATTAAATTACCTCTAGCATTGACTTTGGAATCAGTGGAATACTTACAGTATGGACATCTCACGAGGTCCACTGTTGGAGGCACTGTGCTGCCTGTCCAGATTTCCTACACTGTAACTGGGTGACCTATAACTGTAGCTTTAACCACTTGGGGTATGACCTAGACTTCCTTCCCCTGACAACTGTTTCAGACTTGCTGAGGAAGGTCCTCCCCTCTCAAAGGTCAACCAATGACTGACAAGACATGTAAAACTAACACCCTTGCCTGACATGAAATTTATGTCCAAAGTATATCCCAAAAACTGCTGCCCAAAGCTCAGTGTTACTTGAGATATAGTTTTATTCAGCTATTTTCCCTTTCCCCTTAATAGCATTCCCTTCATAAATCACATTTTGATGAATCCCTGTCTCCCTGTCTCAGGCTCCCTCCTACAGGCAATTCTGCACTTATCAGTCTTTTTTGGGGGGGGGAGTAAAATGAGGTAAACATCAAGAGTTGTAAAAATTATTACATTCAAAGACATTTAAAAAATAATTTTACTTCTTGTCTCCACATATAAAATTAGTCAAAATTTTTATTTTTTAATTGAAAAGTACTTGAGATTGTTTCTTCCAGTGGCATGGTCAATAGTAAGATGCCCACACTCTTGTTAATACATCTAATGAAACTCTTTAGGTCTCTCTCTCTCTCTCTCTCTCTCTCTCTCCACATGAAAGTAGGAGGGGCTAGTTCAGAAAAAGAAGGGAATTAAGAAGAATGGGAGGTTGAAAAGAGAGGGTACTCTGGATGTACATGGTTTTAAGTATTTTTAAGTCCATTAAGGACATTATGCTCATATGTAAATATGTCATAATAAAATCCATATAATGTGTAAGATAATAAAACATTTAAAAAGACAAGCATCATGTTGGCGCAGATTTTGCTGCTTACTGTCTCTGGACCTCCAAAGGCTTTCCTTAAAGGTGGATCAGAACCTCCTCCTTACCAGGGTGTTCAAGACTCTCAGTCACCTCACCATCTCACACGGGCACTCTTCTGAATTGCTTATATGATTCCAGGCAAACTGACCTTTTCCTGTCTTGATACATGCTAAGCTCATTTCCTAATCAAAATTTACCATCCTCATGGCATGGGGAACTCTTTCCACCTGTTCTCATGTGGTAGGAATTATGCTTTGCATATGAAATGCTGCACACATGAAAGCTTGGTCCCAGGGGATGGTGCTGTTCTGGAAGGTTGTGGAAACTTGGGCAGGTGGGACCTAAAGGGGGTATGAGTTTGAAGGTTAAACCTGGTCCTTGACCTTGTATTCTTCTCATCTCCCTGAGTGAGCAGTGTGTCCCACTCACTGCCAGCTGTGTGTTATGCTACCTCATTTCAGGCCAAAGCATCCAGTCAATAAGCTTTAAAATCTTGATCCAGCCAGGCATGGTAGCATACACCTTAATCCTAGCACTTTGGAGGCAAAGTCAGGTGGATCTCTGTGAGTTCAAGGCCAACCTGGTCTACATAGTGAGTTCCAGGACTCCTGGGGATACAGGGAGACCCTGTCTCAAAAAAAGACAGTATAGTATCTATAAGCTATATAGTATCTATAAGCTGTGTGACATTATGTGAATATGCAATCTATCTTTTACTATAGCAAAGTTTTAAAAAGTGCATGAATTTGCTTCATAAAAGTAGGAACATTTTTCTTCAGTGCTTGGAACAATTTCTAGCACATGACACTCTAATGAAGACACAGTTATGTAGATGGACAGAATCCCCAAACTTCTCTCTCGCATGAAGAATAAAAACAATCTCATCAGATGCAAGGCATAAGGTAAAATAAAAGTCAATGAAAAATAAGTGTCAGATATAAATAAATTATATACTACAAAGATTATGAAACATAAATATGAAATAAAATGGATTATGCATACAGACAACACATGCTGGTTGGGGAGAAGTGAAGGATGGGTGGAACAGAATCCCACAACCCCTGTAGTTTCCAAGATTTTATGAGGCAGAGGGCAAGTGTTGGGCAGTCAGAATAGGGATCTGAGGGAAATAGCTGGAGGAACCGAGACCTGAGCCCAAGTGGTGCTGAGACAGCTGGGCATTGGGACTTGTAGATTAGGTCTGGGAGGGAGATAAAATCACAGGGCAAAGAACTCTGAATGCACACATAAGATATCATGAAGCCTGCCTTTTAGAGAAAAGTGTTCCAATTTTGCCGCTTCTCTGTCCATTGCTCTTGATATCCCCTAAGTATACTATCAGCTATCCAATAACACTAACATAGATCTATAAAAATACCTTCCACATTGCTATCAACTGCCAAAATTTTATATATGTGAGAGCCACTTCTAGGTTTAAAACTAAGCACAATCCTCAAATAATACCCAGTAATATCTGGCAGTACAATAACCCGAGTTTCAAGTTAGGAATGTAGAGCATGAAATGGTAAGGACTCCCCTAACATCATATTATGACTTATTTTATCTTCCTATAAAAGTGATTATATCACCACCCGGACTAGAAGGCACTTTTAACACGAATGCACCTAGTGACCTCCTTCATATATGAACATGTGCGAAAACACATCATACCTGTGGGTCTTTGTAAGTTCTTTTGCACTAAAATCCTTCTCAGAGTACCATCCATGGCAGCTTCCTCTATGTGGGAGTGGTCCCCAATTACAGTCCAGTACATCATCCTGAAGAGAGTAGGTCAAGGAGATTAGCCTTATGATGGTGTTCTGGCAGCGATCTCAGTTTCTCTATCTGTGTCTCTATCGGAAGCACCCATTAAGCACTTTATTAAGGAGAGTCCTGACACGAGTCAAAAATTACAGAAGGGTTACTCCAATAGGAGTCTTGGGAATCAAGACTTACCTAATGTACTTACCTAAATGTACTAATATTTGACAATCATCGCTGAATAATATCCATCATAGCTTATTATATAAAATAGAAATATTAGTTATGAAAATTTCATTAAAACCTCAAAAGAAAGCTATTTCCATCACTTGGAATTATCTCCTTGTAATAGAATATTCATTTTGTTATTATTGGGCGGGAAAGATAGCCTGGTGTTTAAGAACCCCGGGCTGGCTGCTCTTGCAGAGGACCTGAGTTCAGTTCCCAGCACCCACATGGAAGCTAATAATGGTCCACAACTCCAGTTCCAGGGACTCTGACACCATATTCTGACTTCTACAGGCATTGCACAATGTGGATGCACTTGCATACATGCAGGCAATATACTCACACACATAAAAATAAAATAATTTTTAAAAAGAATATTCATTTTGTTATGGATGATGCAGCAACTCAGTGGGTTGAAAAATAAAGTATAATGTAAAAAAGAAGAGGACATGAAGTTGGGTGGAGTGTTTGTGGGGAGAGGTCTGAGAGGAGATGGAGAGGAAAAGTTGGGGTGGATGTGACAAAACACTTTGTATACATGTATGGAATTCTGAAAGAATAAATGAAAATGTTATGTTAAAATAGAGAAGTACTATGAGTACTATTTCTCTCTCTCTCTCTCTCTCTCTCTCTCTCTCTCTCTCTCTCTCTGGAGAGAGGTACTTATGTGGCTCAGACTGGCCTCAAACTCCTTTATGGCTGCATCTGGCTCTGAACTCACAGCTTTCCTGCCTCTCCCACCACAGTGCAGCGATTACAGGCATGCACCAACATGCCAAGCGCCAAATAACTATTTCCTCAAAAAGAAATTAATTTTTCATTTGGAAACTACCATATTATATAATTCTACTAATTGAAGTTGCTTCTTTTTAAACATTAAAGAGATTCATTTAACATTTCCCCATTCTTTTAGACACTGAGTGTAGGTTTATCTCTTTATGCCACAGAAAAGATATGTTAATTTAAATTGTTAAAATTTAAACAAATTTAGAATTGCATATACATGCCTTCATATTTTATCTTCACAAATAGCCAAATACGATCTTTAATAAGCTTAAAATTTAGAAAATTCAATTTTTGTTTAATAGTGGTCATGTGTTCATCATATCAATTCTATTGTTTTGTAATTCACACATATAAACACAGAGAGGCATGAAAAGAGATGCTCACACATGCATAATAAAAAACTTTCATAAAAAATATTTTGTGTCAACATCTGTTGATAAAGGACACAGTTCTGAGAGAGAAAATACAAGATGCCAGAGCTCATGAATCTGTTACATGTTGAACAAGACTGTAGAGCGGGAGCTCTGAAAATGGATATTCTTATTGTATTAAGAAAGAAGAATGCCAAGTTATCCACTTACCCTCTTTTAGGATTTACAGCAATAGCATAGGGCTCGCCAGCCATGTTTGTCAAGAGTCTGGTGCAGTTGGGACCATTCAGCTGTCCTACATTGATGGAGTACCTCAGACTGGTCCAGTGAGTGGTGTAGTAACTGAACCAGTGCATTCTAGAATGATCTGTCCAATAGATATTGCCTGCAACCCAGTCAACTGCAATATCTCGGGGCCTTTTAAATTCAGGACACTAAAAGAAAGGAAAAAAATATACACCACAGTATTTTCAAAGACAAATTAGTGAAGCTTACTGTATCCAAACACTGGCATTATGAGGGAATCATAGGACACTCTCTAGGTATTACATTGATTTCAAAAAATGATATATTCTCAATAATCAAAGATTCAATCTGTCCATTCAGAACAATATATCTATTTAAGAAGAATCATACCCTTCTCTTCCTGACTTCCACTTAACATCATCATCATGTGTTAAATTTACTGATGTTGTTGAGTGTACTGTTTAGCAATGCTCTTTATTGCTGGGTAGAATTTCATTTTATAATATGTACTGATTTGTTGAACATTCAGCCAATTATGTCTATTTGCAATGGTTACAATTTTAGGTCATTACAATAACAGAATAACCTTATACAAGGTAATCAATAGACACACACTCAGACTTCCTGAATATTCGCCCAGAAAGTGAAGTATTAAGTCCTAAAGTATACATATACTTAGCCTGAATACACAGTGTGAGAAAATCTTTATAAAAACCTTGACAATTCACATTTTCAGCAAATGAGGAAGTACAGATTTCTGTGTAGCTTTGTCACATATAATTTGCTTTAAAAATGAAAAGACATGCTACAGATAGACAAATTTAGAGAGCTATTGCTTTTAAACATCTTTTCTGGATGGTTGTAATATCTGTCTGATAGCTTGGGTATTTTAGTTAATATTCTTTTGAATAGGGTTACTATGAAACAAAGGGGTGCAGATATGGAAGCGACGCTAAATATGACTAAGATGTATTGTATAAAATCCACAAAAATTCAATAAATATATTTTTAGAAAAAAGCAAACGTATTCTGAACCCTTCAACTAACTTGCTCTCTTTGAATATGACCTAGATATTGTTAACTTCACATTGTCAGGTTTATTGTACATAACCAGAAGAAAGAAGGGATTCTATGGGATTCTCAGGGTATTATATCAAGAACAGCAACAATTATTTGAGTTATTTGCGAGTGATTATAATAAGACATGTAGTCAATCAGTAAGCGCACCCTTAGGATCTGGAAACCAGTAGAAACAGTGGCTTAACACATGATAGTGTTTTCCATGGTTTAATGATGAATTCAGGAAAGTGCCCATGTCAAGTAGAGAAGAAGAAATCAAAGGACAGTAATTATGAGTAACCATCTGCTGTTGACAGCTAGGATCTCAAGGAAAGGGAATATGCCTTCAGCAAAAAGTGGGACCTAGAAGCAATAAAGTGGTGGTACTAGGGTACTAGACCAAGGGCTGCAAACAGGTTAATCAGATGCCCTGTCACTGAGATATATCCCCCTAGACCTTTTTGCAATTTTTAAAAATTTTGGTACCAGAGTTTCACTAAGCTGCTCAAGCTGGCCTTGAGCTCCCTCTGTAGCCTGAGCAGACCTTGAACTTGTGATCCTCCTGCCACAGACTCTCAAGTAGCAGAGATTGCAGGCCTGAATTACAGGACCCGCTGGACAATTTCTAATGACCTTTATGATCAGAAATGGAATTATGACTTTTTATAATACCACAGGTCTCAATTCTATCACTACATACCACACTTGTATCTAGTAGCTATTTTCAATGTTATATGAATTAAATGTCTCTGTATTTCAGTGTTCTCTAGAAATGTCAAATGAATAATAATAACAATAGGTTGTTACAATATAAAGGTTTGTCCCTGACACACAAAAAGTAATTTTAAAATACTCTAGCATCACATAAATTAGCTGTGTTTTCTCAGTTTGGCAAATGTCATGTGATATCAGTGTAGCTCACAATCTTACAAACATGAAATATGGTGGGTAAAATTGCCATTAGAAGCTGCTTAGCATCTGTTGTAGAATATTTATTACTTGTTACACAAATATAAGAGGGATTTATACTGCAAAAATTATGATGATGCTTATCTAGTTTGATCACAGGAAAATATGAACTGTTCCCTTATCAGGTGTCAACATATCTACCTGAATTCCTAACAGTATGACTGTCAAAAAATATGACTTATTTCATACAAATTCCTACTTTTCTAAGTTACTATTTTCATGTCATTTCATTTATCCTGAAAAAATAAAGGGCTGCTTATCCTTCCATTTGATGTGCCCAAACCTAGAGCACTGATAACTGGACTGACAGTCACTCTAAGCATCAGAGATCCTGACGGATGACTCATATGAATCTGGACATTTATTCTCTGGTTTCTGGATCAAGGGATATCTTCTATTATTCCAATAACTATTAAAACAGAATATTGAGCCAAAGATAGTCACACCCATATTAATTCAATCTAAAATGATGATCTCATCAGTCACAAGATTAATGCTCAGGTAATAATGGTGGCAAAGTAAACATGTTGCCAAGAGTTCATTCACAGTGATTCACAGCACAGTGACTATTCACTGATCTTCAAACCGGAGTGAGTTTTGTAGAAGAGAGAAGAGAGGAGAAGGAGAAGGAGGAGTAGGGAGAGAGGGAGGAGGAGGGGGAGGGAAGAGAAGGAAGGAGGGGGTAGGAGCAGAAGGAGGAGGGGGAGAGGAAGTAGGAGGAGGAGGAGCTAGAGGAACAGGAGGAGGAAGAAATTTCTCATTACCACAAAAACCAGAATTGTGAGTTATATTACCCGCATACAACCGATTCACGCCAGATAGATGGTGACAGGAGAGTGAAAAGCAGAAGTCCCTGTTGCATTTTAATGATATAATCAGACAATTTAGGGGGACATATCAAATCTATCAGGTAAATATAAAGAGTCAGAAAGCAGGTTATGAAAACTGCCGCTCAGACGTAGGAAATAAGGACTTGGAAATACCGAGCAGTTTAACTTAAATCACTTGACTCTAAAAAGTCAAAAAACAAAACAAATTAAAACACATGCTGTATTGGAAAGAAAAAGAAATTTTCAAACTTTCTATTTGTTCCTTAGGCACCTCAGCACACAGGTCAGTGAACTACACACATAGTGAAATATGTTGTTTGAGAAAGAGCGGCAGCAGCAGGCGGCTCTCCTGTCAACCAAGGACAGTGTACACATTATCACACAAACTAAAGAAACATTTTAACTAATCTCTTCAGAAAAGTGGTCTTTTTCCTGATAAGCTTTCAAACTACACAGATAAGTTTGGTGCCCTGAGGCATCTTCTATACAGGAATACCTTAGTCAAATGAATGAATCCATTAAGTCTCACAATGAAACTGACAGCTTGATTGCAGCAAAATTGGAAGTTAGTACTTTAATTTCCAAATCCTGTATAGGCAGTATTGTGTGGTATCTGTTGCAATTCTGGATTCAGCAAACTAATGATATGTCACAGGACACATTTGTTTTAAAATAGGAAAGACTTATAAAAGAGGAGCTCAAGCATTGAACCTGAAAATTCTGGTCCTTTCAATAAAGTTATAAAGTTAGCAAAATATTTTAAGAAAATTTAGTTAGCATAGTATAACAGTAATGTCAAATGATATTACTATCTTGTGATGTTTTTTCAGATTGGTATATATCTACAAATAGAAAAAAGTTGGCCCTTATTAAAATTATCTTTTCAGATATGAAAACAAATACTTGATTACCACTCTCAAGTAAAGGGTATGCAAGAGAGGTAACCAGAAAGAATACACTGGGTAGTGTTAGCCTTATTGGTGAAGAGGGTCAGAACTCAGGGGAAAATCCCATTGTAATTCATTATCAACACCCATTTTAATAATATACTCTAGCAACCAGTGAAATATTTGTAATTAAATGCATGAGACAGTCACAGCATAAAATGTATAACTGTTATACTAAGTGAAGTAACACAGACTCAGAAAAACAAACGATATATATTCTCTCTCATATGTGGATCCTAGCACGAATTCCTTATGAGTATGTTCCCAGACAGGAACCAGAATAATGAAAAGGAACCTTGGAGGGAAAAGGAAAGAAAGAACCAGAGAGAGAACAGTAGGGAAAAGGTGTTACTAAGGGAGAAATGGATAAAAATGAGGTTATTTAAATGAGAGGCGGGAGGGAGGGTAATACAAGGAACCTTGAGGATAAAGGGAAAGAAGGAGCTCAAGAGAGGTGGGACCATAGGAGACTGGTATTATCAAGGGACAAATGAGGAAAATGGGGACACTTTAAATGGGGAAACCAATGCAGAGAGAGAGAGAGAGAGAGAGAGAGAGAGAGAGAGAGAGAGAGAGAGAGAGAGAGAGAGAGAACCACAACTGATCATGCACAGACATTGTCTACAAAATGCCCAGGCCTAAGGAACACATCTATAATGCAACCTCTACACCTAAGGCTCATTGAACATAGAACAGGGATAAAGAAGAGGACACTGATGAATCTCTTAGTTCTCAATAATGAAGCTCCCTCATGCAGCAGAGGGCCAGGAACACAAAAACCACAAATGGCCAAAGCATAGAGATCAAGAGTCTGCTAAATATGTTCCTTGGACAGGATCCCTTTATTAAACTTCACACACCCAAGGCTCAGAGGCCATCGTGGAAGAGAGGGCAGAAAGATTGTAAGAGTCAGGGAGTAGGGGCATGATGATATGGAAACAGAGTCCTATAAGCTCCTGGGAATCTGCTCATATGATTCTATGTCAGTGGTGTCAGCATACACAAGTTCCATGCAAACTCAGGCAGACAATAACCTAGAGTAGAACTCGGAAAATGAACAGCAGAGCCCAATTTTATCTGAAGGAATGTTGGCAACAGATTGCTACTAGATGAAGAAAAGCTGATCTTCCTAAAACAAGGGACTCTAGATAGGCTGACTAGACTCAGTGGACAGACTTGCACTGGGGAATGGCTGAGAACACTGACAACACAGTGGTTCTTAACAGGATGACAGAGCATATGGGCTCTAATTGGGAGGGCTATCAGAAGGTGCCAGTGGGGTCAGGACTATAAAGATGATCAAGACTGAGATGTTCTGTATGAAATGCTTTATAAATTCAGTCTTCCCAAAGTAATTTATTCACTTCCTTATAAATTGCTTTA